ATAATTTCAACCTATAACGTGTCGTACATGACATTATTTGCACTTACTCTGCAGTAAAATACATCAAGCTTTGCTCATTGCTGTCTTCATATAAAGCTAGTTTTGAATAATGCACTAAACCCATTTACAATGAATATGTTAAATGAACATTTACAGAAAACGTTTTAAAAAATCTCTACATAACATTTTGATTATTACTACTCAAGTGCACACAGGAGATTAATTTAGACCCCATTTTCAGCCATACAAAAATGATTGAATCATAAAAGAAGATAGCTCATTTCTAATCAAAAAAAACATCTAACACACTCTTCAGCCACGAATAAAACCTACAGGGTTTTACGTATAATGAAAATGCCAGGTTGGCATTTTGAAAATGCTGCTTTCAATATGAATCTATTGTTTGCTTTATATTTTATTAGTCTTTGGTAAATGGTAAATATAATTTTGATCTGAATATGTTCTGTAGTTGAATTAAATTCATGACAAACAAAAGGAATGAATATCAGCTTTGATAATTATTAGGATCAGCTGAAGCAAGGAGGGGTTGGATGCATTCAAAATGGTTCATCCCTGTCATTAACTGCAGAAATCAAGTAGAGATTGTTCTCAAGCTCTAAATGGCTGGAAACCAACCCTCTTTGTTCTGTAACACTTTTCTCACTTAGCACCTGCTAAAAATGAAGAGGTACATGCTTATTGCAGCACCTTTCTGCATTCCAAAGTATTGATTAAGAAAGAGCAAAAGACTGGTAAGAATTAAAGCCAACATTTTGGGAAAAAAAAAAGGGCACATATTTTGTCTTACAGAGTTAGAATACAGACCATTTAAAGCAGGCCAAAACCTTCAATATTCCTCACTACTACCCCATTTTTTTCTTTTTTTCACAAAATATTGTTATTAGCTGTGTGTATAAGATCCAAACATAGCGAGCTGTGAGGCCAAGTGCGTAATTTCATAGAATCACAGAATGATTAGGGTTGGAAAGGGCCTTAAGGTCATCTAGTTCCAAACCCCTGACATGAGCAGGGACACCTCACACTACATCAGTTTCCTCAAAGCCCCATCCAACCTGACCTTTTCAATCTATCATAAAAATATGATCTCAAATCCCACAGCACTTTTCTCCTCAGTTACCAGAGTCTTCCTGGACTTGTACATTTTCTCTTTAAATTATTTCACTTCCAGTGGTGGAGCATTTACCACATCTTTGGGCAACCTGTTCCAGTGCCTCACCACCCTCAGAGTAAAGAACTTCTTATATCTGACCTGGATTTCCCCTGTTTAAGTTTAAACCTTTTACCATAATTTAATCATAATTACTTCTTCACACTATGTATTTTCACAGTGGATTTTTTAGCACTAAAAATACTTAAATATCTATAGTCACAAGATTTTCCACTATGCTAATGGAGACTAGTTCTATCAGAAATCAAAAGTGACAAAGCTTATTCAACAAACTCCAACCTTTAAGCAACAATAACAGTCAAGTGATGTATAACTGCAAAACAGACAAACTACATTACTTCATTTGCCTAAAAAAAAAAAGACCAAAAGCTCTGTCACGGATAACAGATGGAACTGGCATTTTCAAGCTTATTGCAGAAATATTTTAAACTGAGCAGGCTAAATTTAAATAATAGACTTGTATCAATTTACATTAAATTTAGTATTGCTATGGCCTGATTGCAAATACTCTCAAATCTCCAAATCTGAAATGGTCTTCTTCCAGCAGGAGTTGTTTTCAAGGGGACTGTGATGGTACTATTTGATGAATAAAGACATAAAGAATATCTGTGGAAAGGCTCTAGGGGTAAGAATCTACTGATTATCTATGACTCCATCTGTGAGTTATAAGATCTTACTTTTAACAGAATGAAAAGAATACTTTAATATTTAAAACTAAAAAAGTCTTGGAGGAATTGAATAACTGTAAATCTGGTGTGTTCTGTTTCCTGTATGATGTTCATCACAGAGAGATATTTGATATTGCACTGGGGACACATATACTCTCTCTTAGACCCAAGCTAGACTTCATTTGACCTGAATGAAATTCTGCAAAAGTGGAAGGAGTTTTTGCCTGCAAATGCCCTGGTACTGTAAGTAGCAAAAATAATATTATTAAAAGCTAACATTTAATTAAAAGAAATCACTGCTGGAAAACATTTTTAACCAATGTTGTGCACTATGAATTAATTAATACCAAACTGTTAAAATATGTTGAGTTTTTTTTCCCAAGTCTGAATGTGCACTTAATTATGTCACAGCCAGCAGGTATGCCTTAATTAAAATTCCACATATAAAAAAAAAAAAATTGCTAATCTGACCAATATGAAGATATGTCTACAAATGTTTTTGTACATTGTAGAATGCTTTAGAACATGTAATTACATAACCACGAAGAACAATCAATGATGCTGTTTACGTGAAAATTTACATTAGTTACAAGCCAGAATAATCAGTGTATAGTTTATATTTTGCAAAGCAGATGATTTCTATATCAGACCTCAGAACAATAAGAAAATTGATTCAAGTGACTTAGATGATCATATATTTTCAGTGTAAGATAGAAATCTTCCAATTATTTTTTTCCATTATATTCAAAGTGAAAAAAAAAAAAAATCCTAATAATCCCTGAAAGATGCTTCCATATTATAAGAAGAAATCATACTCAGGAAAAGAACTAAAGTATATACATACTCTTGGTAAGAAATAAGTACATAATATTTGAACATTCTCTGCGTTATTTATGAATATTAGTGCAATGTTGCTGCCATTAACAAGACATTTTTCATAAATCCAAAAATGTGAGCACTAAATATGGTTGTTACTTTAAAAATGTCCCTAAGGTGGCATTCAGTGCTTATAATTTAATCTAAGAAAGGACAATTTGTTTTCTCATTCTTTAAAAGCGGGACAAATAATTCTTTTCCATGGCTTAGGTATTTTCAACAGCTATACTTAGATGAGATGGATACCAACTATAAAGCGAGTCTGGCCTTTTTAAAAATGTGTGAATTTCCTTACTTTCTTAATCCTTTATTTTTAACTTTAATTCTAAATCAGAATATGAGCCATTCTATATTTCACTATGAGGTGTATAGACATGCAAGGTATAAATCATTGAGGTTATCATAACAAATATACGCAACATTAATACTGAAAATAATGTGCATATAGAATTACATCAATAGTTTAACTGACCAATAGCAGGGCAGGAACTACTGCAGCTGTGTTTCTGGGGAGGCAGGGTGGCCCTCTTCAGAGGTCCGTACTGCTGGTGCTGCTGAAGCACACCTTGGAATCATGGAATCATAAAATGATTTGTGTTGGAAGGGACCTTAAAGATCACCTTGTTTCAACCCCACTGCCATAGGCAGGGACACCCTCCACTAGACTAGTTTGCTCAAAGCCCTTCCCAACCTGACCTTAAAGTCCTTCTCAGGGCTGCTTTCAATCCAGCCTCCCCCCAACCTGTGTCTGTGATTGCCCTGTTTCGGGTGCAGGAACTTGCACTTGGCCTTGTTGAACTTCACTGGCCCACCTCTCAAGCCTGTAGAGTTCCCTCTGGATGTCATCCCTTCCCTCCAGTGTGCTAACCACGATACACAGCATTGTGATATCATCAGACTTACTGAGCGTGCACTCAAATCCTGTAAATGTTACCAAGAAATTATATAGCTCTGGTCCCAATACCTGCCCCTGAGGAGCACTACTCATCACTGATCTCTGCTTGGACACTGATCCCTTGACCACAACTCTTTGCTGCCATTCAGCCAATTCCTCATCCACTTAGTGGTCTATCCATCAAATCCATGCCTCTCCAGTTCAGAGACAAAGATGTTGTGTGGGACAGTGTCAAATGCCCTGCACAGATCTGTTTGTTTTGTTCAGTTACATAATATTATAAAGATGATATGAAGACCTACGTACTACTCAAGTAGTTTACTAATTTGGAGGTTGTCCTTACATCTGCTGGGGTTTGCAGAGGTGGAAACTGAATAATTCCCTCCATATGCATTCATTCATTTTTAGCACATCAAAATCAGCCGAGTCTGTTTCTGTCTCTGTCTAGTTAAAAATTAAATACTGAAATCCTACTTACACTACAAGCAATTAATTACATTTTTAAGACTATTACTACAAATAGTAACATGCCTCTGGCTCTAACGCTTTTTTCTTTCTCCTTTCTGTCAACCTGAGTCTGTTTGAAATATTGCTGCGTAGTGGAGCACCAACTGTAGGGACAGAGGAGATCACCTGAGGACTGAGGGAATATGAACATTTTGAATCCATGCATCATACATTGCAAAAGAAAACTGACAACCTCCTTCTGGTGTAAATCAAATTCTTGAAAACTCTGTTTCTGCTTTCCTCATATGAGAGTCAATTGAAGTATACAGATGTTTACTGTGAGCTTAATCAATAGACAGCAATTGTCTGTCTGTACTGACCAAATAAATCAATTCCATAAAAAAAAAAAAATTAAGAAATCCTGGGTATTGAGCTTAAATAAATGTGATTTATTACTTGAATTCTTTCAAAAAAACATAACCAATATGATTACCAGTCTAATCTACTAGAAGAAAATTGCAAACCGTAATTCACTATAATTTCTGTTAATATGAAAGGCAAATGGGATACATCAAAACAGAAAGCAAAGTTTTCGTCATAAAAAGAAACTGCTGCAATTCAGCCTAATGCACGATATAAGTGCTGTTCCTATTTGTCACTATGCAATAAATTTATATATTAGGTACTAAAAAGGAGGAAGAAAGGCCCACAAAACTCCTTCTCTAAGAGCTGTTTCTTGGTTTATTAGGTATTTTGAAGGTGGAAGAACTTGTATAAACAAGCATCTTTATCTATCATAGGAATGTAGCTCACCTCCAGTTTGTGCTGAAGTGGTTTCTGTAAGTGTAATGACTCAAATACGCACAAATCACAATAGTCACTGTATTTTTTCTAAATATAAGAGATAGCAAGAGCCTGTAATTACCTGTAACTGTTAATTCTGTAGTTCTTCTGACAACAAAGAATCCGTATTTCAACTCACAAGTGTAATTTCCAATGTCATCCTCTCTAACTTCCCGAATGACAAGAGTATCCTTTTTAAACACAATACTTGATCTCCATGTCTTTGACTTGCATTCCTGTTTAAAGATAATATAACACTTCAGTGACTGTTTTTACACTAAAATTGGACCACTGCTTTCAATGCTTCTCAAAGGTAAGAGAGCTAGGCAAAAGCCCAGGCTAGTTATGAACTTTGCATACACTAAATACTTAAAAAGCCAGTTCAGGTAAGTGTTGATTAAAAAGAAAAAAAGACTATGTAATTTTATCAGCTGACTTAACATATGCTTTCTGACAAGAAAAAGGAGAAGAGCTGCTTCCTTTGGTGGTTTTCATTAGACATTACTTTGCTGAGGGACTTCTATTTCATTTACTTATTTTCCATTACAGTTATGTCTGTGTTCCACGACTATTATATTAGCAGTAGCTAGAGGTTAAAGGAGAGACTTTTTCTAAGCTGTTTTTTAAAAACTTCCAATCAAAAAATATAAAGAAACAGAGATGACAACGAGGTGAAATTAGGATGCTATATAGCTCTTTCTACAAAATCCTAAAATCAAATCTCTCTGTAGACTAAGTAGAACGAAAGTTTTGCTTCTACAAAAAATGCGTAACATTTCAATTATTACTACCAAAACATTTTTTTAATGCTATAGTAGATGATATGCATTTTTTCATGCATGTTTCTTAGTTCCCTAAAATTACTTATTTTCACTTAATTAACATAGGAACAACTCAAAATAACTTTAAATATTTTTAGTGTTTCTAGGTTTTTTTATTTTTTTTTGTATTGTAAAAAAAAATGTTGCAAATGTTTATGAGCAATTAGAACAAGGGATTGGTGCTTCTCATAAGAAAATTATCTTTTGATTGGCTATCACAAAATATTTTACTTCAGCATAATCATTGTTTATACAGAAAGGGCTTTTAAAAATATTAAAGTATAAGAGGTTGCATGAGTTCATTCAAACAGATATTGTCAATGACTCTCAAAAAGCTAGTCTTCTGAGCTCTTATATAACAAGCCAGTCATAGTTTTAAATTTGTTAAAACTTCAGGTACACATATTGTCTTATAGAAGCAAAATTCAAGATGAGTATAAGCAAATAACTGGTTACATACCTCTTATCCTAGACATGCATTCAATTGGCAGAATCCTTCTAGTTTTTGCTTACTACATAGCATAGTTTTGTGTATCACACTTAAAAGCAATTATGCTATCAGGTAAATTATCAGCCTTTAAAAAAATAATCTGTATGCGTATCAGCTCATACTTAAAACTCTGACTTCCTATATACACAGACATCTGTGTGGTCAAAGTATACAGACTCTAAATTTCAGATTTACTGAACTGTTTGAGGACTTTAAATTGTGTGCCTTATAGTATGTAAGTATTGAGTGTCTCCTGCGATGGTAAGAAATCCAGAACACAAAGTGCTGTTCATGGTTCTACTGTGATGCCCAAAGGCGGCAGCAGCTCTCTTTGCAACAACTTGTCTGTCCCTTAAGTAATGATCAGGGAATCAGTACACAATATTAAAATAATACTGATAAAAACAATTAAATTATATTTGCAAGTAAAAGGTAATATGCAAAGACCAAATTTTTGAAGTCTTTACTAAATTTTATGCTGCAAAATTAAGCCATCCATTCAGATAATAGTGTGTATAGCTATCCTATTCATATCCAAACAGATTTTACTCCCGAGTTTTTAGAAGCATACTCTTTAGCCTGTACAGCAAAATGAATTGCTACATAAGCAGCTCCCATGATTTTACCTTAGCAAATCAAACCAGCCCAGGCTGGTAACACTTTTCAGTTTTAGCCTTCTAGTTAAGCAGAAAGGTGGCAGTTCTTTGTGACAGTCAGAAATAGATATTAAGAAAATATAAGCTCTAAAGTTGACCAATGGAAGCATTTTAATTTTCTCCACTTAATTTATTCTTTTCTATCCTTGATTCTGTTGTGTGTTCTCAACAAATTTTAAAACAATCCAGGATTCATATCATATTTAGATCATGAAAATCAGAACAACATTGCATAATAACATGTTGAATATTAAAATCTTCAGCATTCCTTACCTTATACCACAGAATTTCAGGCTCTCTAAAAGGAAATAAAAAATCCTCAATTTCAGGGCATGAGATTTCCTTGCTTTTGCTAAGTTCAGCTTTTTCAAAATATTTCATCTTTGAATTGTAGCAGAGTCCAGTGTCATTTTCACCCACCATCAATGAAATGGACACTTTCATACAGTAAGTTGAGTTTCTGTAATGCAATAAAAATAGAAATAATAGAATAATGTAAAAAAAGTAAATTCAATGTACGTGACATTGGGTTTATGTCATTATTTTCATCCCAAGCAAAAGATAGCAAACAGATACTGTATTTTGTGTTTATTTTATAGCTGTTCATAATAATTTTCCTTCTTTCTCAGCCACTACCTACAATATTTAGAAGGCATTGGTTGACCTTACTCTAAGACCATTTATTTCTCCCTTTTGTCAAACTGCTTTTAACATTACAGTCCCCACTGTGTATTTGAGAACAGTTTCCCCCAAAGTAAGGAAGAAGTTCTTTACTGTAAGGGTGGTGAGGCACTGGAATGGGTTGCCCAGGGAAGCTGTGAATGCTCCATCCCTGGGGGTGTTCAAGGCCAGGTTGGACAGAGCCTTGGGTGACATGGTTTAGTGTGAGGTGCCCTGCCCAGAGCAGGGGGGGTGGAACTTGATGATCTTAAGGTCTTTTCCAACCCTAACTATTCTATGATTCTATGATAAAGTAAATAAGCAATGAAAGCTCCATGTATTTGCCAATGAAATTAGACAACCGACTCACTGACAGACAACATTACAACAATTCTCAGGGTGAGCAGATCATGTTGTAGTACCAGGGGTCAGATGCCAAATTGGAGCATCAAGATCCACCTACTCAACGTATCTGAGAATATTTTAAAAGTGGAAGTGCTAATCTTTTTGAAGTCTTGAATTAAAACGAGTCTTGTGATTTTTCCCATTTTGGAATAAAGGATGTTTTAAACTAATGGACTGCTAACTTATTTACATTAGCTTTCAATCCCCATACTCCTATGCCAAAATGTTTCCTCATTACCTAGAGCTTTCATTAGTTTGGGCTCTCTTCTGAAACTTGTTACTTCTGCTGCTGCTAAATGTTGATATGCTAGGCAGCCAGAGACTAGGGAACATTGTCTTCCCACATCTTTAATTAGGCTAAAGACAAAATTACTTGATTTTTTTTTTTTTATTTCAGTTTCCAGGTGGGCAGCAAACAAGTGTGTAAAGTTGAGTACTCCCCAGGACCACACTGTGACAACGCAAGATTTCTCTCCTATTGTTTTGTAAATGCATTTGACCCCTGATCTGCTGAAAGAGGATCCTGCGGACAGCAGTGAGGAAACATTAATTGTCTTATTTCTATTCTCGCAGTCTGCGAGCAGATAGCTCATTTACAACAGTCTTGTGTTTCTCAGACATGGCAGGATCTCAAAGATGGCTACATTTTCTCATTCTCTTTAAATTTTGTAAATCTGTTTCGTTTTTCTTTTCAAGAGAGGGGACAGAAATGCTTAAGGACAAAGAATAAAAGAAACATCATTCAAAGAACTCTATAGTCCAATTTTCTACAGAAAATGTAAACCTGAAAAGAAAGATATGTAAGTTACTGTTAAATTAGAGAATATTCTTAGAGTTATAAATTCTGGAACAGAATGACCCTTAGCTATCCACTTAATTCATGGACTTGTAAAGAAAAAAAAACACAAATTAAGCCCTTATAATGAATCTGTAAGTATAATGTATTAGCCCATTCAAGAATCTGAGTGTATAAAGCAAATAAAGTTAAGCTTTATTCAAAGCAAATTATGGATTCTCATTCACTGAATACGAATGACTCTTGCTACTTTTAAGCTAAAAGCCTATCACCATTCTTACCTGTGCATGCAATTTAAAATCATGTAGTGTTTTAAAGAACACATTGTTATTTCTTTACATTATGTTGTTCCCCCATTAAGACTCTATTTGGAATATTTATTGATTATGTGGCTGGAAAACATCATAAAAAGTCACCTAAATCAGTTTTTCAAATTGGCAAAATTGTTTTTCTGTTCCTGGAAGATCTATCCCTTGGAAACAGGAAGAAGGTCTAAAGAAACAATCAAGCTCTGAAGATCAAGAGTTCACTAACTAGGTAAGAAGATTCCATTACTAGATGACAGGGAGCAATACATAGGAAGCGAAGACAGAGAAGTACTGGCTACTCAATTTGCATTTTTAAATATTCTTTTTTATTTCTTTTTGTGTTTTGTTCCTGTTACTGAATCTTACAATTTAAAAATTTCTATAAGGAGCTGGGAGGGAAAAAAAAAAAAAAAACAAGCACAAAACCTAATTAACTGTAATTCCATTCTCTGAAGAATGAAGTTGAGCAAAAACTTTCAGAAGTTTTTTTGTTTGTTTGTTTGTTTCATTGGGTTGGGATTTTTTGTAGGTTTTTTGGTGTTTTTTTATTGGGTTTGTTTGTTTGGTTTTGTTTTGGGTTGTTTTTGTTTTTGTTTTTTTCCATATTCTTCAGAGTGAATTGGCCAAAAATTCTGGTTTATGTTTTGGTCTACTCAGAGCTCTGTTCTGCAACAGTGGCAATGTCAATTGCCAGAGCTAGAATTCCTTTTGAGGCACATCCAAGTTTCCATCGCAACAGCAGATTCATTACCAGATGCAGCTTAGGCTTCCTACTCTGTAAGAAGAAATATCTCAAAAATGTTCAAACCCATTGTTTGAAGAGGATGTTTGAATTTAATGACTCCAAGTTGTGTGTCTGTGATTTGAGTCATATGGATATAAGCCTCCTGCAGACAGAAGCACAAATTGACCGGGCTGTAAGGTAATTATGTTCTAAAATGTCAGATATAAGGTACTGAAACAGTCTGGATGGATACTTTGTCAGCTGAGTTCCCTAACATAATTTTCTCTCAAAATCCCAAAGCATCATCAAAGGACCTAAAGCACAGGATGCCCCCTGGTGACACAGACTTTTTTATTGCAATGCCAAATACTAACTGCACTGTCAATCTGACCTATTTCATACTCTGTCAGAAACCTAGGCTGTAGGAGTGATACAAAACTGAAAAGAATGATATAAAAGGCAGAGAAACACAAACAGTATGAGCAAAGAAAACCAAGATAATGGGCTCACAGAACAGAAAAAGAGAAAGAAAATTAAACAGTTCCCAGGTAGGAATGAAGAAGAAGAAAGAGGAGGTAAGTGTGCTGGTAACAGCTGGAGCATGGTGGATACAGTAGGTGTGGAGCCCCTCAGCTAGCAGAAAACGTAGCACAAAGCAGAGCTCTCTGGCAAGCATGCATATACTATGGAGGACAAAAAAAAAAAGGAAGAGATCTAGACCATACAAAAACAGGAATCAAGAAGCTATTGGGGATTTTTCTTTAAGACAACAAATCCATTTAAATCAAACGCAACTTAAAAATAAAGTAAATTGGCAAGTAACTTATCAGAACAGGAGGAGGAGGAAGACGAGACACAAGGGGGAAATAGAAGAGAACATATGCAGAGCAAAAGTAGTTTCTCTAAACTACTTGCAATATCGACATCTACATTTAAAGGGATTGCTTAGAGAACTAAGCACTTATAGCATAATTTCTAAATTGCCCCTAAAAAGGGCAAGATAGGCTACTTTTACAGAACTCTACTTTTTTCTTGCACTGAATAAAACCTGGTAATTGTCAGCCTCACCAGAGAGAATTTGGCAGTGGATTTATACAGCTCAGTGCTCCCCAGGCAGCAACGCTCATCATCCCTATTCATGACAGAAGGAAGGAAACTGGGACTCTTTCTGCTACTTGTCCACTCTGGTGCTTTGCCAGGCATACCTTTAAGCAGAAGGATAATTCAGGGAGATATAGCACGTATATTCATCTTCCACGTATACAGAAGACACAGTGTCTTTGGGACTAGAAAGAAATGTTCTTTGGAAAGTCCTCACCACTACCCCTGTTTTATTTCATTGTAGAGTGCAGCCAAATTGCTTTAATTGTGTAAAGAAGGAGTTCCTCTCCACAAAGGTGTTAACAATAAAACTATCTTCATCTAGTACAAAAAAATGCATCATTCAAAGGAGAGATGAACAGGTCAAACAGACATCTGTTGATCCTGACATTTATCATCAGGCACAACACTACCTTTCTGCAGTTCTAAATAAGGTCTGATGGAACCATAGTACAATAATGATACTTACAAATGCAGCCAGACCCATTTAACAGTGTTTTTCATTTAAGACAGCAATCTTAAGTCTTTGCATTCCTCTGCATTTCCTTTATTTCTCCTCCATTTTTCAAGGGATGTAATACTTGTAGTACATAGCCTGTCATTACGCTGTATTTTTACAGGGTATATTAAACACAATGACAAATTAGGAAGATAACTGGCAGCAGAGCAGACACGTTCTTTCAGTGTACATCGTGACAGCAAATTAAATTTTACCCTTTCAGTAGAATTACTAGAAAACTTGCAAGGTGTGTATTAATAGAGATTAGTTGTTTGTACTGAGTTATGCTATATATATAATAATAATGCTATTTACCATGGTAAACAAAACAGAGAACAAACAGAAAGCAAAAAACAAATCTTTACTATTTCCCCTCACCATACAAGCTGAGTTAGGAAAGTAACTTTATTTCCAGCTCCTCTCAAACTTGACATTGAAAAGAAAGTCTGCAAAAAGTCTTTTCTTCACAGTATTTAAAATTTGAATAAGTAAATTTGTCCAGTGATGTCAATATCCACTTTCTACAAATTGTCCACCCCATTTCAGGGGAAAACTTTTGTTGACTTCATTAATAAGTTTTTTCATGGTTTTGTAGATACAAGTCAGTTCTTTCTCAGACCAAGTAACTTCTGTTAAGAGTTATTTGGATGCCTGAAAGCTGGAGAGAAAAGCTTTCATTTAAGGGAAAAACAAAAACATGTTATTGATAAGCTACTTGTGCTCTTGGCCACTGGCTTCAGAAGCTCTTTGTGAGCTTTGGAAGTTTTGCACAAAAAAATTATAAAGCCTTTAGATAGCAGTGGGGTTGCTTAAGGACATGGCTGAGGCCTTGGGCCACCTGGTGAGGGAGGAAGGCCAGCAAGTACTGCAGCCAGAACTGCTGCCATGCTGTGAGGTCCCCCTAGTGGTAGGGTCTGATGCCCTCATCAGTCTATGGCTTCTGGACCATTTATACAAATCAGCAGTT